GGGGGGGGGGGGGCTAAGCTGCATTTTGCATGATTCTTGATTGATCCCTTGTTTTTCTGAGTGAGGATATACTCGGGGATTTCGTTTTTGAAGTTTTCGACTGAATGGACGCGGTGATGGTGGTCAGATACATCCTCGTCTGTGATACTTAATTTGTTTGGTCGTCGTCGAGAGAGAGGTGAGGTGCGCTGTATTTTGAATGTTATCGGAAGGGACAGGCTAGCGTTCCAGGTGAGGGTCTTTTCGAATGAATCCTACCTGTGATTGCGGTCAGATACATCCATTTGCGATGCATCGTCGGATTTGCCCATCTGTAGATAGATGCGCTCTTCATCTTGCATGCTGCTTAATCCGCTTTATCTGAGGGCATGCTCACACTGCTAGCTTTTTGACTGAATCCTAGCTGTGATTGCGGTCAGGTACATCTGTTTACGATGCTTTGTCGGATTTGCCCGTCTGGAGAGAGGTGCGCTCAGCATTTTGCATGCTGCTTGATCCGCTTCATCTGAGGGCATGCTCACACTCCTATATTTTTGACGGAATCTAGCTGCAAATACGGTCAGTTACATCCCGTTGCGATTCTTTTGAGTGAATGTAGTCGCAAATACGGTTCAGATACATCCGATTGCGTTTCTTCGTTTTATTTTGACCGTCAGGGGAGAGGTGGTCTCGATTTTGCATGATATTTTTGGATTCTTTTCGTCAGCAAGCACACTCTTTTATTATTATTATTATTTTTATTATTATTATTATTATTATTATTATTATTATTTTTCCTTTTTTAAAACTACTCTATATTCTTCTCTCAAATCTTTTATCATCTTTCAAGTTCTTTCAATTCACCTACCACTACTCTTAAGGCATATACAGGAGACCCCTATGTCCGCAGGCATACTCACACTACAGGGTATGTTTATTTTTTAATTTAATTTTATTTTATTTTGACTGAATCTTTGTGGTAATTACGGTCAGGTGCATTGCACAAATACACCATACTTCCAGGATGCAAAGCTCCGAGGGTGAATATGCCTTGATATGCATGCGCCCGTCCAGAGATGTGCAGTCCAGGTTTTTGACTGAATCTTAACGCTATTTGCGGTTGGGTGCATTACAAAATAGAGTAGTGATCCGGATTGCCTGTGTGATGTTTGATCGCTTGCTCTCTGCGCACCTGATTCATTATTCTCTTTTTCTTTTTTAAAGTTTTTTATTTCCACTTTTCAATTAAACGTTCTTTGAGCAGCTGCATTCCGAAGGCGGTTTTAGGTAGTGTAAGGCGAAATTGAGAGAAGAACATAGATTTTTTTCTTTTCATTATTCTATTTTTCTTTTTTTATTTCCATTTTTTAATTAAACGTCCTTTGAGCAACTGCATTCCCAAGGCGGTTTTAGGTAGTGTGAGGTGAAATTGAGAGAAGAACATAGCTTTTTTTTTTACATTATTTTTTATTTTTTTTACTTTTAAGATGAAATTGAGAGAAGAACATAGCTTTTTTTTTTTTTTAATAAAAAGAAGGTTTTTCTTCTCGTTTTCTTTAATTAACTTATATTATATATTTGACGATACATATGCAGAGAGGGAGAAGAGGGCCTGTGACAGACTGTTTCGTCAGAGTTTCACCCACTCATCAGGAGGAGGATGTACCCAATATATATCCTATATAATATACATATGTGACGATATATATGTATATAAAATTATAAATAGACATCATGATACTGGTTACCACCCGAATAGAACGCCAGGTCATTCTCGCTGTATCTAGACCGCAGGTTGGCCAAATACAGCTGTAATGACCTGCCATTCTATTCGCCTGAAGACCGTAGTCGTCCCCATATGATGCCAATTTTAACAGATGTCAACCC